GGCTGCACTTATCTGTTTTAAGAGTCACAGTGTTTCACCAGGCAAGAGAGTGATAAAGGACTCGATGTGAGAGCAGTTCCCCCTCTGGCAGCCCCGCCCCTGCCGTGGACACAGCTGATGTCACTGCATTGATTCATCCAGCAGTACCTGTCCCCGGGAGCAGAGACAGCCAGGGACACAAGGGGAGGAGTCCTGCAGCAGACTCTGCATCCCTGCACTCCCAGCTCCCACTGCCTTCACACCTCAGCAGAGCTCTGCCCCCAGGCCCAGAGAGCTGCACAGAGCCCTGAGCCCCACGGGCTCCTCGTTCCCTTCACATCTGACCCAACATCTGACTGCGCCTCACAAACTCCTCCCCTCCTTGGACATCGTCATCTCTGCTGGAAACATGTGAGTAACATTTCCACTGGAGAAACCCCCCCGCGGGGGAACTCTGGGATAAACCCGTTGTGCAATCTGGGCTGGACAGCTCTGCTGCAAATGGAGTTACTGTAAACAGGGACTCACGGAGTTCAGCATCAACTGGATCCTTACTCTTCCTCCAAACTAGGTTTTCCAACGTCTCAGGAGACAGGAGTCATCACCTTGGAGAAGGCTGGATGGGCAAAAGGTCGAGGACTCTGTAACATGAAACAAGAGGCACTTGATGCTGCGGTTCTGGATTATTCTGACCACAATTACGCATTTGGGATGAAGCTGGAGACCTGGCCCAGAGGGTTTTGTCACACTCTGTTCCCTCTCTGCGCAGCCTTCGCAGGGAATCACGTGAGCACCATCAGGCTGCACCTTTTCCCACCCAAATACCACACTGGGCAGGACTTATCAGCGAGGATTAACCCAAGTTCACATTTAAGTCTGGCTCACAGCAAATCCCAGCTCGTGGGACCAAAACCCTCCGTGAACACAACATTAAATGGAGCACAGCCCAGCTTCCTGCACGGGAAGGCAGGTCCCAGTGTTGCCTCACTCCTTCCCGGGCAAACCTGGCCAGGGACAGCTCAGACCCGAGTCATCAGCACTCCCAGGGACAGAGCCTGGGCTCCCATTGGAAAGGTTTCCCTGGGAGCAGGCGGAGCTTGGATCAGGCAGGGCTGCGGAGGAGTCGCTGGCTGGGGGATTACAGGGAATGTTTGCAGGGCAGATCCCAAGGAAAGCAGGCTGTTGCACTAAGTGTATGAAATTTGGCCAAAAACACACCCCTTGTGTGCCAGCTGGTCCTTGGAGACCAGGATCATCCCACCCTGGGAGCAGGGAGAGGAAGTCTCCCACTGACTGTCTCCAAGGGCTTTTGGCTCTTCCTCCTCACCAGGGGAAATTTCTGCCCCCCTCATACACAGCCCAACCTTCTTCTCCTCCTCCTGCAATGCCACATACAGCATGATCTATGCAGGGAGTTGAGTAAGAGAGTCATATGTGGTAGCATGTACTTCATTAAGCTGATTAGCACATGCAGGGTGTGCATTTTGATATATAAACGACCCTTAATCAGGCAAAAGTTACTTTTTTGGATGTAGTGTCCTTCAAAGTTTCAGTCATAGGACTTTGTTTTGTTCTTCAGCGCCAAACCAGGCCCATCCTGTCTGCACTGTCCCTCCTCCCATGGCCAGCTCAGCCTTCCCAACACAATTCCATCCCCAGAGATAACGTGGAACGCACAGGGGAAGCCTCAGCCCTTCCCTGACTCATTATCCCACACGGGCTGGGGTGGGCTCTGCTCCCCTCCCTCTGCACAGCACCGGGGGAGATTCCCTGTGCAGGAATGTTACCCTTACTGGGGGCTCTGGAAGCTGAACCGTTCTCTGAGAGAAATAAACATATGTGTGTATATATATATCTCTCTCTCTATAAAAAAAGCCCATTGTATGAGTCAGTGCAGCCCGTGTTCCGCTGCGCTGCCCTTCCAGGAAGGGAAGCCTGCTCCCGAAACGGAGCCCTGACTCACAGGCTTCTTGGAACTGCACGGACACTCATTCAACTTCTTCCCTGAGCGAGAAGTTCGCTCAAAACCAGGCACAGAATCTGTCTGACCAGAGAAGGAAAGGTGCCGGGGCGCTGGGCAGCACGAGGGGCTGGGGCACCCCTGTGCCCATGGAAGGCACCCGGGAAAGCAAGGACAGGCTGAGCTTTGAGAGCTGGGAGACAGGAACAGCCCTGGCAGCCCCCGCTGAACCCCCCCACCAGAGAGACTCCTTCCTCAGCCAACCTGCCCAGCAGCTGAGTCCCGGGCGTGTGAGCAAGGCACAGCCAGCACCTGGGAGTACAGGAGCCCAGCACACCTTACCTCCACCCACAGCCAGCTGTGGCCAGTCTCCAGCTCCTCAGGGACAAAAAAGGCTTCCACAGTCCAAGTCACACAGCGGGGAAAGCACATTCCAGCCCGGCCCCCCGCAGGCAGCCGGGGAAACTCTGAAGCACAGGGCTCCAGTACGTAATTTCAGCGCAAGCAACAAGCCGGGCTTTCTTCAAGCCCTTCTGATGCATCACCACATGAGATAGCCAAGGACTCATCTCTGGGAGTTCCCTCTTTGGTTACATAAACACCAACCTCAGCTTAACTCTTTCAAGCAGAAGCGCAGGACACATTCCCCGGGAAAAATCCCTGCTCCAGCCCGACACCCTCCCAGCAGGAGCCTGGGAATGCAGCTGCAGCACCCGAGGCTGAGCTGCTGCCCCAGCGCAGTCCCCAACCAGGGGCTGCTCCCGTGGCCAGGCTGTGCTCACCCTCCAGACCCTGGGAGGGGAGGGGTGTGGTGTATCCCGAGGTTTTGCTTCTCCTTTACTGCTCCTGTCACCGCTGATGTGCCAGGAGCCCCCGCAGCAGGAGCTCTGTGCCCAGCACAGCCTGACCCGCACACGTGCTGACACTTCCCAGCGAGGTGTGGCCCCGGTTTCTCCCAGGCAGTGACTCACCTGGCCCTGACTGGAGAGGAATGGATTGAAGTTCCCTGCACACAGTGCCAGGCCAGCGTTGCTGGGGTCTGCAGTGTGACAACACACCGACAGCCTCGCCGAGAAACACCAACCCAAGACAGGCGTTTCAGGCAGAAAATGACTACGGGCACACAGAGCTTCCTCTGCCCAGCAAGAGCTTCCAGCTGGAGCTCCCGGGCAGGAGGGAGGCACAGATGGACAGCCAGGATATCTGCACTGATAACACCCCCCTTATTCCACCTGAGCAGGCTGGGCAGCTCAGGCACCAGCCGTAGGGCTGACCCTAATCCCAGGACAGTCTGGGTTGGAAGGGAGTTTAAAGACCATCCCTTTCCACCCCCTGCTATGGGCAGGGACACCTTCCACTAGTCCAGGTTGCTCCAAGCCTTGTCCAACCTGGCCTTGGACACTTCCAGGGATCCAGGGGCAGCCACAGCTTCTCTGAGCAATCTGTGCCAGGGCCTCACCACCCTCATAGGGAGGAATTTCTTCCCAATACCTAATCTAAACCTACTTTCTGTCAGTGGGAAGCCATGCCTCCTTGTCCTGTCACTCCAGACCCTTGTAAATAGTCTCTCTCCAGCTTTCTGGTCAGCTCATTCAGACACTGGAAGGCCACAGTTAGTTCACCCTAAAGCTTCTCCAGGCTGAGCAGTCTCACCTCTCCCAGCAGAGCTGCTCCAGCCCTCTGATCACCTTGGTGCCTCCTCTGCACTCACTCCAGCAGCTCCATGTCCTTCCTGTGCTGAATCACAGCCCAGCTCGGTGCCTACAAGGCTTCCCCTGCCTGCTCCACGGAGACAATTCCACAACACCCTGAGGATCAAACCCAGCTGAACTCTGCTTTTAAGGGACACGATGCTGTGACCAAACCCTGAGTACAGACACCACAGAGGAACAACCAAAGGATGCAGCGCGAGCCCCCAGCACACCTGCACTCAGCAGGGTGTGTGAAACCCACACCTCAAGGCTCTCAAAGGCTCTGCGAACTACCAAAGCACTGAATCCCCAACACCAGCGCAGCACATCCCCCCCAGCCAGGCCAGGGTGGGACACCGGGACCCTCAACCCCTCCAGTCGGGGGGAAGGTGCCATCCCACAGGCTCTCCCCCACCAGGAGAGCCTGAACACCCTCAGGGCCTGCACCGGCGAGAGGAGGGACCAGCACCGGGCTCTGGGTGGGGGAGATCCCTCAGCCCCCGGGGCAGCTCCCACGGGCAGCAGGTTCAGCTCCCCGGGGCAGGTTCCCGTTCCCCTCCCTCACTCCCCCATGCCCCGTTCCCGTTGTTCCCCTTCCCCTCACTGCCCCATGGCCCCGTTCCCGTTGTTCCCCTTCCCCTCACTGCCCCATGGCCCCGTTCCCGTTGTTCCCACTCCCCTCACTGCCCCATGGCCCCGTTCCCGTTGTTCCCACTCCCCTCACTGCCCCATGGCCCCGTTCCCGTTGTTCCCACTCCCCTCACTCACCCATGGCCCCGGGCCCGGCCCGGCCCGGCCTCGCTCCGCTCCGGGCCCGCCTGGCACCGGAAGTGACGCCACCTCCCCGTCCCAGCCCGCCCCCTGCTGGCTGCAGCCGGGCCGGGGCAGCGACGGTGCTGATTGGCCGGCGGGGGCGGCGCGGGCTGTGATTGGACATGGAGCGGGGGCCGGGCCGGGGCTTTGCAGCGGGCTCTGATTGGTTGAGGTGCCTTCAAGAGAGAGAGAAGGGAGTAGCGAAGGCTGATTGGCTGCGGAGCGAAGAGCCCATCACTGATTGGCTGCAGCGGGACGAGCCCGTCGCTGATTGGCGCGGGGTGCTGGTGGGCACGCGGGAGATTCGAACGCGCGCTGATTGGCGGAGGGGCGGGGCCTAAGGCACTGGCCACGCCCACATAGCCCCCCAGCCCCCCGACCAGGACCCTCGGAATGGGGACCCCCGGAATGGGGACCCCCCCCACGCTGGGGCGCCCTGGGTTGGAACTCCCATGGGCAGGGAAAGGCCGAGCCGGGGGTGGCAGCGGGACGGCAATCCTGACCAAAGGGTCCTTTGGCCCATCAGAGGAGGGACACGAGCAGAGAGAGACCACGGAGCCTTTTCAACAGGGTTATTGGGGCTTATTCATTACAAAAACCATCCCTGCTCCTCCACAGGCACCGGCCCTGGGAGCAGCAGAGCGCAGAGTCCCTGGGGGGGGATGTCCTTGGGCAGGATGTCTGGTGTGGCAGTCCATCAAAGGGGCAGGTTCATCCTGGGCCCATCCTTGCACTTCCACCTCACTTGTCCTTGGCCTGAGAGAACTCCCTGCGCCCCTTGTCACGGCCCCCGAAGAAGCGCACCCTGTGGATGGCCTGGAGCTGCTCCTCGATGGTGGCCCTGATGTCCACATCGTCGGGGATGTGCACGTAGCGCACGTTCCTGCCGGTGACGAAGAGCTCGTCCAGGTGGGACACGGCTCCGTGCTGGTCCGTCAGGGTCACCTCGGCCAGGCGCACGTTCATGAAGGCGTCCACGTTGGTGACGAGCCCCGCGGCCGCGCTCTCGTCGCGCAGCTCCACCGTGGTGACGCGGCCCCGCAGCCCCTGCAGCAGGATCACCAGGCTGTTCTCGGCGATGGTGCGCTCCTTCACCGAGTGGCTCACCTCCATGGCGGCTGGGGGGACACGGCTGGGCTGGGACAGGGATGAAGGATGGGGACAGTGCTGGGGGAACAAGGCTGGGCTGGGACAGGGCAGAAGGAAGGGAACAGGGCACACTGTGCCTCCACAATCCTCATCACACACATACCTGTACAGGTACACCCCCTTTCACGCTCACCTGCATTCCTACACCCCTTGCACTCGCTCAAACTCTCACGCGCACACATCCCACCCCTCTCACGTTCATCTGCACAGGCACCACCCCTCGCCCTCTCACCTGCCCTCTCCCCTCTCCTCGCGCGCTGCCCCCCTCCCCAGCCACCCCATTCTCCCCTCCCGCCCCCCCCAACCTCGCACACTGGGCTCCTCCGCGCCCCCCCCCGCACTCCTCACACACACACACACTCCTCACACACACACACACTCCTCACACACACACACAC